GCTCGCAGCTATATTTATTTATATATATATATATATATATATATATATATATATATATATATATATAAAGCCGGTGGCACCGCCACCCTGGTGCCTTTAGGGTTATTGTGCACGACGTGCAAAAACGTAACCCTGCTTTGACTGTCGAAAAGAAGTGTGCTGTAGAGCTTGTATCAGTGTGGGCTCTGCAAAAGTGTGCATTGAGGGCACATGTCAACCACAAAGTATGCGAGAGCAACCTTCTGAAAGGTCAGGTCTACATCCAGGTCTACATCTGCCGTGTGTTTACATCATAGTAGTGAAGTTTGAAGCAATCAGGTGATTTCAAAGCTTTTTGAAAGTGACAGACTTCCTGCTGCCAGTTGGTGGCGCTATAACCGGGGTGGCGGTGCCGCCGGCTTTGGCCCTTTCACGCTGCTCGCAGCTATATTTATATATATATATACACACACACACACACATATATATATATATATATATATATATATACATAAATATATATATATTGTTTTTTTAAGAGACAAGACAGAATATTACTTGCCTGATCTGATTAGAAAAATAGTGTTTGTGTGTGTGTGTGTGTGTGTGTGTGTGTGGCGTAATTGAACAATGTAGACATAAAGACATACTCCGTCCTTTTGTTCATACAGGACATTATTCAAACTGCAAAGTGTTTACTTATATTTGTGTACACTCGCAATAAAACACAACATTGTGCTTTTGTCAAACTATAAACTCTTGTCAAACTGTAAACTACAACTGTCACCCAACCAAAATCTCTTACACACACACACACACACAGTTTAAAAGCAAAAAATATCAAACAATCCTATTTAAAAACAGTCTGTGGGAGCCATCTTTTGGACATTCATCATATCGCATTGGTTTTCATTTCTTGTCATCAAACAGAGCCCTAATCTGTTTATTTTTTCAGTTACACATTCTACATTGATTAAAAAAGAAAAATCAAAGGTGTTTTTATTTTATACAGAAATAAATAATCTATCATTCAGATGAGAATAAAGTTAGTGTTAGTTCAAATTTTAAGGAAAACAAATATATGATCTGAAATATAGCACATTCATGTAAAATTCATTTAGGTTCGATTACCAAACATACAATCTTAATGTAATTTTTAAGCAAACAATACATTTAAAATATATGGGTTGTATGACTATTTTTTAATATAAAAAGATATATATCCAAAAAGACAAGGTCTAAAGTTTAACAAGGGTTAAACTCTTATCACTGTAACAGACACAATCACACACACAATCACACACACACACACAAGTCAAATCACTTACATTTTAGATGCAATATTGACTTTTTTTCTGTTTCAGCAGCGAAAATAGTTAAACAAAGATCACAGCAGAACCATCGCGCATCTCACAGCAACGCGTTCTCATTACTGAATGATTCAGCATTTTGAACGAATCGGTTGACTCAAAGATTCAATGACCAATCAATCCATAAACATCTATCTCATAAGTGTTTTACTTATATTTGTGAACAATCGCAATAAAACACAACGTTGTGCTTTTGTCAAACTGTAAACTACAACTGTCACCCAACCAAAATCTCTTTTTTATTTTATACAGAAATAAATAATCTATCATTCAGATGAGAATAAAGTTAGTGTTAGGTCAAATTTTAAGGAAAACTCTGAAATATAGCACATTCATTTAAAATTCATTCAGGTTCAATTACCAAACATACAAATCTTAATGTAATTTAAAGCAAACAATACATTTAAAATATATGGGTTGTATGCCTATTTTTTTTTATATAAAAAGATATATATCCAAAAAGTAACAGACACAATCATACACACACACACACACACACACACACACACACACACACACACACACACACACACACACACACACACACAAGTCAAATCACTTACATTTTATATGCAATATTGACTTTTTTCTGTTTCAGCAGTGAAACTAGTTAAACAAAGATCACAGCAGAACCATCGAGCATCTCACAGCAACGTGTTTTCTCATTACTGAATGATTCAGCATTTTGAACGAATCGGTTGACTCAAAGATTCAATGACCAATCCATAATCTGTCTCATTCATGAATGACTCAGCCGTTCGAACGAATCGTTCGAACAAATGAATCAATGACTCGCTCATTAAGACGGTCGCCTGGCGACACCTAATGACGGCTTAGTGATATGTTTAAAAGTATCATTCTTTCAAACGATTGTTAATTAACTCATATTTGAAACATAAGCTATATATATATATATACACACATATATACACACAAAAATAAAATAAAAACACATTTGAAGCGTGTTTGCTTACTAAATTGTGAGCAGAACGAAAGTTGCAGCAAATATCAGCAACAGGAGTCAAATTTCATTAATCACGAGAGTGAAGAGCTGACTGAAAAGATGATGACGGAATAGGCTATTTTATGTAAAAGCGCCTATTTAAGCGAATCTATCATTGTACTCTTTTGTTGTTGTGTTTTCCGTGAAAAATAATAGACTATTGAACTCACAATTCAAGCAATTGGCCCCCGATATTGCACTAATTTTAAAGTGACACTAAAAAGTATGCGGCTGCAGTGGCATTCATTACGGTGCGCGTCCATGGCGACGAGCGAGCAAAACAGAGCGAACGTTTTTTCATTTCTACTTCCATAGAAATTCATTCGAGCGCACTGTGAGCGCCACCACTATAAATGTCCTTACTTTACTTTCACTTTTAACTTAGCGATATAAAAGCCCCCGGTGTTACACGTCAAATAACCGGTGAGAAAAAATTCTCGGAGTCACATAGCAGCTACCTATATTTAAATACAACAGGCCTACCTGATTTTGAACACAAGAGGGCAGTATAGCCCTATGTATTATTTGATATATTTATTTTTTAACTGAATAGTGCATCCTGGCTGTTTTTAAACTTGTACATTATTCTTAAATTGAAAACAAGAATAAAATGGGTTTAGTTCTGATATTTGTATAATTTTATCTAGAAATAAATGGTGTATAATTAAATTTTTAGAAGATATGAGGCTTTTAGTGTTTATTTTTTTTTACATGACTTTAATCCCTCGCCATAGCAAAACAATTAGAGATATTCAATAGATATTCACAATTATGCTTCTTTAATGTATTTTCATCATGTTGAAAAAGTTTGGTGGGAATAAAATAAACCACTTAAGAGGAGTGGGTAAAAATGTAGAGCCTGGTTTTGCAAAACATCCACATTAAGACCAAAATAGCCCACTTCCTGTTGGGCTGGCTTAAAGTTGTTTGGCCCGATGAGATCTATATGTGTACAGAGTTTCATAATATTACATGCAAGTGTGTTTGATTTATGGACCAAATTTTCTGACCAAGTTAATTTAATTAATAAACTAATTATATAAAACTATTTTCAATGCACTACAATTCAACTGGTTATATGCCTTTACTTATTAATACAACTTATTTAAAAAATACAAGGCGTAAGACATTTTTTTTTCTTTTTTAATGCAGGCCAAACCACACAGCAGTCAAATGGTTAATCTAGCCCCCCTCCCCCTCCCCACACTCACAGACACACACACACACACATAGACGTAGGCTCAGAGAGAGAGAGACATAAAATGACAATTTTCAAACCAAAATATCTGACTTCCTGTTGGTTGGAGCTATTGAGTGTAAATTAGAAAGTTGTCTGGCTGGAGGAGAACAATACACATACCGATTTTTATTACTGTAGATAAAATCAATCCCCCCACTTTTGACAAAAGGTGGCGCTACTGAGCCCCTCACCACGCCCGTTTCTGAAACTCTGCACATGTCTACTGTCTAATAAATGTGATGTGTCTGTCGGGTTTCATGCAATTTCAAGTATGTTAAGAGTCTCAAAAGCATCAACAAAGAATAATAAAGTTTGATGCGTTGCCACGGCAACAGTATCTAAGATATCAATAATCCTTTCTCAGGTCTACATCTGCCGTGTGTCTACATTATACACATAAAGTTTGAAGCAAATTGGGTAAAAATAAGAGGGTGATTTCAAAGCCTTTAGGAAGTGACACACTTCCTGCTGCCAGTTGGTGGCGCTATAACTTTGACTCACAATAGTCACATCCATGTGATCGGACTCTTACAGCGAACACACTGCTGAAGTTTCATCAAGATCAGTTAATGTATGCAGAAGTTATAACACACTTCCTGTTTCCTTTATTCGCCATAAATTCGTTTCCTCGCCACGGCCAAACCGTTCGAGATATCAAAAATCCCCTGGCAACTTTTCATCCTCAATGTCTTGACTTCATGCTGACCGAGTTTCGTGGCGATTGGTTGAATTCTCTAGGAGGAGTATATCGAATTCCAGGGGCATACGCTTCCAAACAAACCATAATAGCCGACTTCCTGTTGGGCTGGGGTAAAAAGTAAAAGTACAAAGGATATATGAACCGATGAGATCTATATGTGTACCGAGTTTCATATTATTACATGGAAGCGTGTTTGATTTATGGACCAAGTTTTCGGACCCCGTTCCAGGGGGCGCTGTCGAGCCCCCCTGCCACACCCGGGTACCAGCTTCAGCCCGGCCCTGATGGCCGCGGGTTCTGACCAGTGTGCAAAGTTTCAAGAGTTTTCGTGCACGTTAAGAGCCCCAAAAGTGCCCGAATAGTCGATAAAATAATAATAATAATAATAATAATAATAATAATAATAATAATAATAATAATCCTAAGGAAAACAATAGGGCCTTCGCCTTTTCAAGGCTTGGGCCCTAATAATAATCCTAAGGAAAACAATAGGGCCTTCGCCTTTTCAAGGCTTGGGCCCTAAATATTATAATCATAATGGTTGAGCCACTCTTGTTATGTCCAGCCCAGTTAGACTTTTCAAATGAACAGTCTGCAATTCCATTTAAAAACCACTAGTGGTGCAGTAATCACACTTATCTGTAACATATTGCTAGGAAAATATTAACATAAAGAACAATAATATTTGTTGCTAAAATATTTGTGTACCTTCTTCCTTTTCCTCTGTTTAACCTTACTGCTGCCATCTTGGTTTGGCCCACCGTTGCCCTGGGCCATGGAGTGCATCTTCCCCTGGTGTCCCGCCGTCAGTGGGCCGCTGGGAGTGGACGGAGGGGTGTTTTCTGGAGAGTCCGTTTCCTTTTTGGTGCTTGCAGCCTTAAATTAGACCAGAAAAATCACTTACATGTACGTGAACATAAATTCTTGATTATTTTTCTAAGAGTGACGTTAGACGACTGCAACTCATATAAGGATCACAATGTGCTCAACCTTCTCACAACACACTCTTTTTGGGCAACTCAAAAAGTAATAATGACGTGAAAAGGTCACGGCTACAAAACATTTCAACACAACGCTGAAAAACATCACCTGCAGTCTTACGACACGTCTCAGTCCTATCGTTCAAACCACAGGGTCATTCTGTCACTCTCGCCACATGGGAACACCATCGACCCCCAAGGTTTAGGAGAAAAACAATACTGGAATTCAGGCTTAAAAAATGCCATGTGCGCTTCCAGACCCGGAGTGGCCTTGGCCGAGTCCGAAAAAAGAGTGTAAGAGAGACAGATGAGGTTTTTGTGGTTTCAGTGACAGAGAAGTCCATCCATGGAACGGATCCCGCAGCTCAAAACCACCTTGGACAAACTTGGCGGCCCTACTTGGCGAGAGGTCAAACCCACGGAGCGGGACAGTCTTGTTTGGTTTTCTTTTCCAATGGACAAGCGCTCGGAGAAAGCTGTTGACACATCCCTACACATACATTTACGCCAGTAAAACCACTTAAACTATTCTATAGACTCACCAAACTGCAACCAATCTGATAAAAACCCATTTTAATAGTGGATTACAACATACGAATGCATTGGTGAGGAATATCACTTGCATGCAGCTTAAACCAAATAAAAAACACATTACTGGCTTTCCCCCTGAGAAGAACTAGAAAACAATGATTGCCTGTCATTCTGTCATCATTTACTGTTACAAACAAAAGATGTTTTGAAAAATGTTCATGGTGGTCTTTATTGCACATTTATGGTTCTTTTGCGATTTTATCAGCTTGACCGCATCCGTTCCAATTTTCATTGTTTTCTACTAAACTTCTCCTCCACAAAAGAAAGTCATACAGGTTTTGAATGTCATGAGGGAGAGTACATTTTCATTTTTGGAGGGAACTGAACCTTAAACAGCTTGTAGTTTCCAAATATCATTCACTAACAAGTGTTATTTTAATAGTATGTATATACTATTATATTATTTAGAGAAAACATATTTTGAATTAGCTTTTATTTTTATATTTTCAGTTTTCTTTTTAATGTTATCTTATATTTTTATAATTCTGTTGTCATTTGTATTAGTTTTTCCTTTTTATATATTAATATTTAGCTTTAATTTATTTTTATTTCAGTTTAGCTTTAGTCATTTTAGTATTAAAACTTATTTCAGTTAGTAGTCAAGCCAACATTTCTCATTTTCATTTAGAAAGTTTTTGAATTCTCGTTTAAAAAGTTTTGACGTTTTCTTAAGGTTTCATCTAATATTTATATCTTATTTTATTTCAGATTTATTTCAATGAACAAAAACAATTTTTTATAGATTTAATTTTAGTTAACAATAACAACAGTGACTAACAAAGAGTAAACTAAAAATGGTTTTGTTTACCTCAGCCGAGGAGTTGCAGTACTGGATGAAAGTTGCTGATATGGCGTGTTGAAACGGATCGCCCGTTTTGGGAGTCATATCTTGTTTAACCAACAGGGCAAGGTCGACAACCTAAAATATAAAACCATATCAGCTTATGAGCAATGTCACTTGATATGAAAAACAAGATGATGATATATTTTTTTTCCAGGAAACATCATATTAAACAATCAAAGCCCTGGAACGCTTCAAAAGAGGTTATTTTCAGGGGTCTAATTTCATGTTGGCTTTCTGGGTTTATTGCATTGGAAACAGAGATGGAGTGAAAATAAAGTTCCAATTTAGCAAACGTTAAGAGTGATTTTTCTGAAATGAGACCGTTTTAGTTTATCTGAGAAACAATGTGATTGCATGCTCCTTGTTGGGTTGGAAGAAAAAACAGTGTGATGGCAGCTCACCTGGGCCACTGTCTCGTAGGCCAGATACGACAGGACCTCCATGGACATGGCGTTGGGCTTCACATCCAGACTGCTGCAGTCCAGCCACTCGCGGAATTTAGAGGCCTTTTTAGCTAAACAGAGCAAATCATTTGAATCATTTTGAGTGAGAACATCCAGAGAACTTGTGAGAACTTTTGCGTTCCCCGGAGAAACTTTGCGTTCGCTTGCAAAACCTTTGCGCTCCTCCCAACTTTGCGTTCGCTCATGAAACTTATGCGTTCCCCCCAGAAACTTTGCGTTCACTCGCAAAACATTTGTGTTCCTCCCAACTTTGCGTTCGCTCGCGAAACCTTTGCGTTCCCCCCGAGAAACTTTGCGTTCACTCACGAAACATTTGTGTTCCTCCCAGCTTTGCGTTCGCTTTTGAAACATTTTCGTTTCCCCGAGAAACTTTGCGTTCCCTCACAAAACCGTTGCTTTCCCCCGAGAACATACAAAGCTCCTAAAGGGACATGGTGATGGAAAAAAAATATGAGATGGGAGGAAAAATAAGTCAATGCTTTTGCTCACGAAACCTTTGTGTTCCCCCTCAAAACTTTGCGTTCGTTTGCGAAACCTTTGTGTTTCCCCGAGAAACTTTGCGTTTGCTCATGAAACCATTGCATTCCTCCCAACTTTGCATTCGCTCATGAAACATTTGTGTTCCCCCGAGAAACTTTGAGTACGTTTGCGAAACTTGTGTTTCCCCGAGAAACTTTGCGTTTGCTCATGAAACCATTGCATTCCTCCCAACTTTGCATTCGCTCACGAAACCTTTGCATTCCCCCGAGAAACTTTGCGTTCGCTCATGAAACATTTGTGTTCCTCCCAACTTTGCGTTTGCACGCAAAATCTTTGCGTTCCCCCTGAGAAACTTTGCGTTTGCTCGCGAAACCAATGGCGTTCCCCCGAGAAGCTTTGCGTTCGCTTGCAAAACCTTTGTGTTCCTCCCAACTTTGCGTTCGCTCATGAAACTTTTGCGTTCCCCCGAGAAACTTTGCGTTCGCTTGCAAAACCTTTGCGCTCCTCCCAACTTTGTGTTCGCTCATGAAACTTATGCGTTCCCCCAAGAAACTTTGCGTTCGCTCGCAAAACATTTGTGTTCCTCCCAACTTTGCGTTCGCTCGCGAAACCTTTGCGTTCCCCCCAAGAAACTTTGCGTTCACTCACGAAACATTTGTTCCTCCCAGCTTTGCGTTCGCTTTTGAAACATTTTCGTTTCCCCGAGAAACTTTGCGTTCCCTCACAAAACCTTTGCTTTCCCCCGAGAAACTTTGCGTTCGTTCACGAAACATTTGTGTTCCTCCCAACTTTGCGTTCGCACGCAAAACCTTTGCGTTCCTCCCAACTTTGCGTTTGCTTTTGAAACATTTTCGTTTCCCCGAGAAACTTTGCGTTCCCTCACAAAACCTTTGTGTTCCTCCCAACTTTGCGTTTGCACGCAAAATCTTTGCGTTCCCCCTGAGAAACTTTGCGTTTGCTCGCGAAACCAATGGCGTTCCCCCGAGAAGCTTTGCGTTCGCTTGCAAAACCTTTGTGTTCCTCCCAACTTTGCATTCGCTCATGAAACTTTTGCGTTCCCCCGAGAAACTTTGCGTTCGCTTGCAAAACCTTTGCGCTCCTCCCAACTTTGTGTTCGCTCATGAAACTTATGCGTTCCCCCAAGAAACTTTGCGTTCGCTCGCAAAACATTTGTGTTCCTCCCAACTTTGCGTTCGCTCGCGAAACCTTTGCGTTCCCCCCAAGAAACTTTGCGTTCACTCACGAAACATTTGTTCCTCCCAGCTTTGCGTTCGCTTTTGAAACATTTTCGTTTCCCCGAGAAACTTTGCGTTCCCTCACAAAACCTTTGCTTTCCCCCGAGAAACTTTGCGTTTACTCACAAAACCTTTGCATTCCCCCGAGAAACTTTGCGTTCGTTCACGAAACATTTGTGTTCCTCCCAACTTTGCGTTTGCTCGCGAAACCAATGGCGTTCCCCCAAGAAACTTTGCGTTCGCTTGCAAAACCTTTGCGTTCCTCCCAACTTTGCGTTTGCTCGCGAAACCTTTGTGTTCCTCCCAACTTTGCGTTCGCTCATGAAACTTATGCATTACCCCAAGAAACTTTGCTTTCGCTTGCGAAACCTTTGCGTTCCTCCCAACTTTGCGTTCGCTCATGAAACCTTTGCGTTCCCCCGAGAAACTTTGCGTTCGCTTGCAAAACCTTTGCGTTCCTCCCAACTTTGCGTTTGCTCGCGAAACCTTTGTGTTCCTCCCAACTTTGCGTTCGCTCATGAAACTTATGCTTTCCCCCGAGAAACTTTGTGTTCGCTGTAGGTTTTGTGTTAAATGCAAAGTTTCTCGGGGGAACACAAAACATTTGCGAGAGAACGCAAAAGCATCGACAAATAATTTTTCCTCTATCTCATATTTTTTCCTTCACCATGTCCCTTTAGGGGCTCCGTAAGAACATGATGTACCAAAGTGAGGAAATAACAAGCAGTTTGTCCTAAGAACAACTATATTCGTAGTACACAGTGGCAATATGAATTATTATAAATATTTTTTCCAAAATGTGCAGAACAGAACGTGAGATGCTATAACCTACTAAGCAATACACTTGACTTTCCATAAAAAAACACCACAAAATCAACGATTTCTTAATTTGACTCATTATTTGTTCAGACTCAAGACATTTGATCATAAAACTGGATTCAAATGCAAAATGTTTTTACTTGTGAATGAAGAATGCCAATTGCTGAATGAAACATACACACAATGTGACAATCTAGCTTACTCACATAATTGTTTGAAATGTTCTGCATATTATGACTAAAAACAGCAGACAGAATACTGTGTACACTGCACAATTTACATAAGAACAATAAGAAATTAATTCCAAACATATCCTATTAAACCAAAAACACTTTGTTGTGTTTACTCAGCACCAGTGTTATGTAACAGGGTTATTCAGGGACATTTACGGCGCTGTTGTCCCAACCTGCAGCTCAATGCCAGTAAGACATCACAGCTACTGGAGCGGCACAAAGCCAGTGAACCTGTTATTAGTGCTGAAATGTGGCCTTCAGAACCCAGTGGTGGTGTGTTCACAATCCCACAGCTGCGTTCTTACAAGCCCTCGGGCGCACAACTGCCAACCGAACAACTCATCGGAGACGATATCTGATGCAGGAGTTCTTCTGAGGAGTGATCTGCTTTACATTGATACAACAACAAACCATACCTGACCTGCTCATGGAGCAACAAAACGGATGCTTTCATGCAGTAAACCCCAGAGGAAATAATTCTTGTAGCTCTAACACTATAGCATGTCACTAGCAACGCCAATGTCATGGGTTCGATCCCCAGGTAATGCTTGAACTGATAAAATGTGTCCCTTCAATGCAAAGTAAGTCACTTTGGAAATGCAAAAATGAAATGAAAACAATCATGTACAGTATGTGAACGATTACTCACAGAAACTCAGCTGTCGACTTTCACAGAAATCACTGTACAGACTGGAATCCATGTTTCTTGTCATCTTCTCAATTCTCTGTATAAAAAAATGAAAAGAAGAATATTAACTATTTTCATGTGTCAACATCATGAAACAAAAGTCAAGAAATACACGCCTGTGAACTCGCTGCCACTTTGCTAGGGTTTTCCTGTCTGTGATATTCTGGATTCTAGAAAGTTTGGGGTCAGTAAGATTTTTAAAGTGTTTTTGAAAAAAGTCTTTTCTACTTACCAAGGCTGCATTTATTTGATTAAAAACACAGTAAAAACAGTAATATTGTGAAATATTATTACAATTTAAAATAACTTTTTTTGTGTGTGGATATTTCCTAAAATGTATTTTATTCCTTTGATGCAAAGCTGAATTTTCAGCATCATTACTCCAGTCTTCAATGTCACATGATCCTTCAGAAATCATTCTAATATGCTGATTTGCTGCTCAAGAAACATTTTTTTATTATTATCAATGTTACAAACATTTGCAAAACATTTTTTCAGGACTATTTAATGAATAGAAATAGAAAGTTCAAAATAACAGTTTATTTGTCACTTTTGATCAATTCATCCTAGCTGAATAAAAGTGAAGATTTCTTTAAAAGATCGCCCGTCATAATGAGCGTTTGGAGGTGAAGTGTTGGGTTAGGGTTAGGGATTTGCTGATAGCAATTTTTTGGATCCCATAATAATCTCTTCAATTAAGATATTGTGGAGCTCCTGTTTGATGTCATGGTTTAAACCACAGTTTTATCAGCTACTCTAAGGATTCAATATCAATTTTATTTTACGCTACACAAGATAAAATGGCATAACATAAGAGGAAGGGCGGTCTCCGTAAACTTTAAGAGAGCCACGCGCAGTAATGAACCCTCTTAATAGCAACCCAACAGGTTTCACTTGGATTTACAGCTGAGCGTGTTAAGTTGCAGGTCAGAACCTATAATTAGACATTTCCTCATCCTGGACCAATTTCATACCTTCACATAACAGTCAATTTGAGCTCTCTACCAGGCTGTGTGTCATAAAAAAAGGTTCAAGGTTTATGACCACCCCCCCCCCCCCCCCTGCCGCAAAGAATCTGTTTTACAGTCTAGAGAGAGAATGGTAAGCGGGAAGCGTCAAGTTGGAGACTGAGGACAGTCTGACATGACGCTCTGGGCTCCGGGGCCCGATGCGAGGCAGCCTGGATTCGTTTTCAGGCCACCCAAACCAACCGGAGTCTTTTTATTTAGTTAGCTGGCAGTCATTGGAAATTCCATCTTTGAAAATACATATTAATGATGCCGAGCGCCTTCTCGTTACACAGCGCTGGAACTGTGATTTCTATTAGTGTCGTTAAGAGCCGAACGGAGGTCTCGTTTTGCAGCTCTGAGGGGGAATTCGCAGCAGCCTCGGTGTCTGGGTCCCGCTCCAAATTGGGCCGCGAGCGATACGAGACTGGAGCCGCTGCACTTTTAAATAACTCTTGTCAACCGGGTCGGCCAGAGACAGGAGAAATGTTTTGACTGTGGCTTATTGACTGAAAAGAGCAGCGGGGGGATTCGATGTTTGAATACTATGTATAGCCACTGATTAAATCAAAACGTTGACCCACCTGCTAATAGCCAAATTATACCCACAACTGACGCGGCGGCCGTATAGGAGGACGTTGGCAAATATTTGATTTGGCCCGCTCGCGACTTTCATTTCATGCCAGTGTGGTCTGGATAAAGGGAATCTCAATTTGTAGCACTGCTAGCGATGTGATTTCCATCGGCTGAGGCCCAAGATATATTTTGGCTATCTAGTATATTTCAATGCGCGTCAAGCCGCGCATCGGTGATTAACAGCCCGAGGCAGGCTATAATTAAATTTGTGGGGCATTTCATTCAGACGCACGGCTTAGACGATCAAACAGAGATGAATTTAAAGTGCCAGTGTTTTTGCTCATAAAAGTCTAAAGCTGCTTGAAAGAGAGTCAGTGATCTCTGTGCAGTCATACGCGCTGGTTTAAACAAACTGTGACAATTACTTTCAGGTCGAAGAGAACTGAATATGACACCTGATGCCACTCACAAATCCCTGAAAGAAAGCAAAGAGCAAACTATTAACTTCCTGAACCTTTAAAGGGTCATAATCAATAATAAAGCATACTCAGTTCATGTTCAAGTGTCCTGCGTAAAGGGCTAGCCATTTTTCTTTCTCTGTGAACTATTGTTTTTATTCAGTAGTCAGGTCAATATAGAAAAGATACAACATTTAGAGTGTGGCCACATCCACCCCCCAGGTAGACTTCTACTGTACTGAGGAATTGCAGGACATTGCAGTGGAAAAAAGTAAAAAGTAAAATATCTAATCAATAAAATAGAAAATATACATAAATACAAAATAAATTTTACATATTAAAATTAACAGGGATTTTCAAATGCAATACACAAATGCTCGTGCAGATTATTTGGTCTGAGATCGGATTGCATTGATTTTTGTGTAAATGTGAACGCTCCGAACAATCTCAGACCACATTGAAGTGAACTGAACACAGACAATCTCTGTGAACGATTCAACTATACAATGCATTGTTAACACAGTGCTCCAGGTTCACTTTAATTTCCCCATGCATGTCTACACATAAGCTACATAAATTCATCAACTAACCATTCAGAAATGTTGTCTACATGTTGTCTATATGTTGTCACTTCTTCTTGAGTCTCTCCATCTTTATTTGACTCCGGTATGAACATATTAGGCTTTATGCACAGCTTCACTACTTCCTGAACTTCAGCCAGCTCCTTTGTTTCCTGTCTGCCATTATTGGACAAACTGATTAATCCAGGTGTGCCTGATTATTGTTACTGAGACCAGGCAGACCTGGATTAATCAGTTTGTCCAATAATGGCAGACAGGAAACAAAAGAGCTGGCTGAAGTTCAGGAAGTAGTGCAGCTGTGCATAAAGCCAATTGAAGATGCTAACACACACTAGCTCTTGAAGCTCTGCCCACTGTGCCGGGAGCAGCAGCTCATTTGCATTTAAAGGGACAGACACAAATACGGTGCGTTTTTGCACACCCTCAAAAAGTGACAATTTTAACATACTATATACAAATATCTGTGGGTATTTTGAGCTAAAATTTCACATACACACTCTGGGGACATCATATATTAATTTTACATCTTATGAAAAGGGCAAGTAATTTGCTATGATATGCTAAAAGTGACATTTCTCGAAACAAACAAACAATAAAAAATAAATAAATACTGGATCAAATGAACTAAAGCACTTTCAAATTCAGAGGCATTGATTTATGATATATACTATATTTAATATACGCATGACATGTAAGGTAAAAGTGGTCTTATAATAATTAAATGAGTATAGTAAGTAAAAAGTTAGTAAATAAATGAATTAAACAAACATGTACAAAAAAGACATTCACTTTCAAAGCCAGGCACATTATGAATTCATGCAAAAAAAATAATAATCAATTTCACTCAAGTTCACTAAAATACATGTTTTTAAGGAGAGAATAACATCAGAGATGCTTTTGCATTGTCTTCAGACTAGTTTGCTGATGGCATTACTTTCCTCTAAAAAAAAAAAAAAACTAAAGTTTTATGAAAACACAAGCAAGCAAAAGTGCAAGAGTTTCCGAAGCCGTTTTCAGCATTTACGATTTCCTAGGGAATTTGCAAAAGACAGATCACCAGTGTCCCAGAATAGCATCCTGCTGTCATCATGGCATTAAGGCAAAACAATGCGGATCCCACACAACATGACAAAAACACTTTTAAGCATTCCCATCTGAATGTGGCCGAGAAAATAACAGATTGTCAAGAGATCTTAGAGGGTCCTTGGGAAGATGGATGATCTGCCTGAGGAAATACAATCCACTCACCACTGACAACAGAGAAGCCCTCGCCGGCTGATCAAGTGAATTATACCCCTGTCCGGCCTGATCGCGGCTGCCCTGGCTGTTCACACGTGCAGTTAGAGGACTGGACATCTGACAGATGTTTGACCCGTAAGCTGTGGCTTTGGAAATCCTATGAAATAATGGCCTGAGTATTTACACAAGTGTTGTAGTTTATTCACAGCAGCGAGAAAATCTAGTAGCGAGTAAATGGACAACGCAAATGAGGTCATTGAAATAGTCCGATTTACTGTAAAAGAGAGCTACTAGTATAGTGCTAGACTGATATACTGACCAGGCCAACGAAGCAGACGATATTTGGGTACTTTGCGCTATTTTGGCTATTGTTTTCAAACACAATTACTTACAAATATTTTTATTTGGTAAAATTGTATATATATTATGTAAATAAAATAATTATATGATATAATTGTATGCATATAATTAAATACTACTTTACAAAATAATAAACATTTAAATAATGAATAATTTATATAACAAATATAATATTAATTTATATAATTATTGAATGCGCTACCTTGGGGTCAGTCATTTTTTTTAAGAAGTCTCTTATGCTCATTTATTTCACAGATAAAAAAAAACAGTAAAAAATATAGATATTATTGTGAAACATTATTACAATTTAAAATAGCTGTTTTCTATGTGAACATTTTAAAGAGTAATTTACTCCTGATGCAAAGCTGATTTTTCTGCATCATTTCTTCAGTCTTCATTGTCACATGATTCTTCAGAAATCATTCTAATATTCTGATTTGCTGCTCAAGAAACATTTCTTATTATTTTAAATGTTGAAAACATCATATTTTTGTGGAAACGGGGTGCATTGCTTTCAGGATCCTTTAATAAATAATAAATAATAAAAAAATAACAGCATCAATATGAATATGACATTTTTTACAACGTTATAAATGTCTCTACTGTCGTGTTTTTTTTGTTGTTGCTTTATTTCATCCTTTAATGCTTTATACAATACAGATAGTTTCGAAGCAGCTTTACGGCGATAAACAGGAAAATAATGATTCAATGATGCAAACAGAATTCAATTCTGCTGTAAAGCAGCACTAAAATGAAAAAAAGTCTCATTGTTCAGCTGAGGTCAGTTCAGTATTGATTCAGTTCAGTTTAATAACT